AAGAACATAAAGACAAATTAGAGAAAGATTAGAAAAAGTATTAGTTTTGAAAATGTGACAGATGATATTTAATGTTAATGTTGATAAGCATTAATGCTTGAAGAACCTTTGAGGGAGTATAAAGATATAGATGGGGATTATAAAGATTCTGAAAGGGATTTATAGTTTTCCATGGTTTGAGAAGAAAGCTAAAGATATTAAAGTGGAACTGAAAGCAGGGAAGAGATAAGAATATGGGTTTATGAAATGTACGTCTCTAAAGCAATAGTAGCACTTAAGTGACTAGAGGGCAAGGCAATGAGCAACATTTGATTGTTCCCTACTCTTTAAGTCTTTGTTTTGTGAGATCCTGTCTATATTGCCAGACTGGACTTAAAATTATAACTCCTGATAACTTCTACCTATGCCTCCTAAGTAGCAGGAATTAAAGGCACTGCAATTGGGCAAACCAACGACAACAACAACAAAAATCAAACTTTTTTTTTTTTTTCTTTGCTGTGATGGAAATCCAATCCAGGACCTCATGCATGCTGAGCAAATGCTGTAACGCTAAGGTACACTCTCAGCTCATTAGAGCCTTTAATGCTGAAGTAATACCATTAGAGCTAATGGAAAACTCCAAGTGTTGTTTGAAATTATTCCCTAAATGATGTGGTTCCATTTTCTATGAGACATTCATGTAAAATCACAAACTTTTGGTCAAAATAGAGTGGGTATGGTGTTGTCATTAAAAAAAAAAAAAAAAAAAAAAAAGAGAAACAGTTTGCTGGGTGTGGTAGTACATGCTTGTAATCCCAGTGGCTTGGGAGTTAAGGCAGGAGGATCTCAAGTTCAAAGCCAGCCTCACCAATTTGGCAAGGTTCTAAAGCAATTTTTCAAGACCCTGTCTCTAAGTATAAAAATGCCCGGGAGGGCTGGGGATGTGGTGCAAGCGGTAGCACGGCTCGGTTGGCATGCACAGGGCGCTGGGTTCGATCCTCAGCACCACATAAAAATAAAGAAAAGATGTTGTGTCCACCAAAAACTAAAAAATAAATATTAAAAATTTCTCTCTCGTTCTCTCTTAAAAAAAAAAAAAAAGGCTGGGAATGTGGCTCTAAGTATAAAAATGGGCCAGGAATGTGGCTCCGGGTGTTCATCCTGGTTAAAAAAAAAAAAAAAAAGCCAAATTGAATTAGTCACAAGCAGTGCAAGAAATCTGCTATGTGCTGGTCACATGTTACTTTAGAATAAAAATTCACCCACCATGGTAAGTGGCATTTAAAACAATCCAATTTAATAGGTTATATGGCAAGAGTAGGGAATCAAAAAATTACTGGAGGCTGGGGTTGTGGCTCAGTGGTAGAGTGCTCGCCTAGCATGCATGAGGTACTGGGTTCGATCCTCAGCACCACATAAATGTAAAATAATGAAATCAGTTTTTCTGCATCATTGAATAAAGAAAGATATTGTGTCCACCTAAAACTAATAAGTAATTATTTTTAAAAATACCGAAAATGGTTAGTACACATATACACACATCTAAAATTGTAATGAAGCCAGCCATGGAGGTGCACACCTGTAATCTGTGACTCAGGAGAAGGGAAGATGATCACAAGTTCAAGGCTAGCCTCAGCAATTTAGAAAGCCCCTGTATTAAAAAAACAAAAAGGATTGGGGACGTGGCTCAGTGGTTAAGTACCCCTGGGTTCAATCCCCAGGACCAAAATAAATAAATAAATAAATAAATAAAATTGTAATGAATAGCCTAATAAATCATGAATATTAGTATTGCTAATTTATCTACTCCCCCCTCCCTCTTTGGTGCTGGTGACTGAACTCAAGAGACATTCTACCATTGAGCCACACCTCCCGCCCTTTCTATTTTTTGAGACAGTGTCTTGTTAAATTGTTTAGGGACTCTCTCAGTTCCTGAGGCTGGCCTCAAATTTGTGATACTCCTGCCTCAATTTCCTGAGTACCTGGGATTACACGTGTGTGCCACCAGACCTGCCTAGAAATTGCAATTTTAATTAATAGTAGTTTTTGAGGATTAAAAAATATTTCTAAATTTGTCTTCCTTTAAACTTTGGCCAATTTTGCCTCTGGCAATGGGACCAGAATAAAAGCAATTCTTATTTGTAATGCAGACCCATACCTTAGAATAGATGTCTCAAGCAAACATTACAAATAAGTTCTGAAATTAATTAACATTGAAAAAATAACTTAGCATAGTGTCAAAATTAAATCCTAGGCTCCAAATAAAAACTTGAGCAAATTCCTCCATCATGGTAAGAGCTACAAAATATCAGTTGCTTTTTAAAAATTATTTAGGCCTAATTCATTTGGAGAAAGGAAACAAACAGCTACAGTGGGCATCTTTATTTTCTTTGACCTTATTCTCTATGATCCTGAGAAAACAGTGGTAGGTAGCAATCCTGTACCAAACTTGACAAGTATCTAAGTAAATATATTTTCTCTAAAGGAACTGACCACAGGTGTCTAAAATGAAGATGATTTTTAATAAAGAATAAGTATCTCTCTTAAATGTCCCAAGAAACAATTGTATGACATAATGAATGCTAGAATAAATATATTCCCAGAAGATTTTCCAAGAAACCCAGCCATCAGTTGTCATGGAACCATTTTCATTGAAGACATTTCCTTATCAATTCCATTCTTTCATTTCCCTCTAAAATTATCTTAGTTAAGCTTCTGCAGAAGACTTTTCTGATCCTAAAAGACATAGATGGCACAGTAGTCAGGAAGAGGCCTCTGGAGCCCAGCCTTTCCCTAGCTCTTCACTTAGAATGGCTATGTGCCCTTATAACTTAGCCTTTTTGCATCTCAGTTTTCTTCAATGCTATTTACCTTATAAGGTTGTTGTGATGATTTATAGACTAGTAAATAAAAAAATTTTTTTTTTTTGAGAGAGATTTTTTTTTTTTTTTAAATATTTATTTTTTAGTTCTCAGCGGACGCAACATCTTTGTTGGTATGTGGTGCTGAGGATCGAACCCGGGCCGCACGCATGCCAGGCGAGCGCGCTACCGCCTGAGCCACATCCCCAGTCCCCGTAAATAAAAAATTTATACAGCAGTGCCAAGCACATAGTGAAGACTCAAAATAGTTTGAGCTCTTTATCACTCCACCTTTTCCATCAAACCAAATAGTATCTTCCTAACCAGCCTAGGGGATTACAATGGAAAACCAAGTCAAAGGTACACAAAAGAAATATGTTGGGGAATATTGCCTTTTAACTTTTTGCTAAGAGATAATGATTTGTGAATGCAGAGTAAAGACAGTATAATCAATTCCTAGTTGTTATATATTTATTTATTTTTTGCAGTACTGAGGATCAAACCCAGGGCCTTGCAAGTGCTGAGCAGATGTTCTACCACTGAACTACATCCCCAGCCCCCCTAGTTATTATTTAATATGACTGTATATGTTTGGATCCATTTAGAAAATATTTAAAATTACTATTAATATTTGTTTTCTTTTAAATTTTTTATAGTACCACATAATTTTATAACTTTTTATTACAGCTGAACTCTTCAGAATTATAGTTCTGATAAATTTGGAATGATTAAATAGAGAAAAATCTACTCAGAAAGTACAATATACATGAATTTATGGTACTTGTCCAAATATTATTAGCATACAAATTATTTTGTTGTTTCTCACATATAGAATCTAAAATGCAAAGAAAAATGGAATTTCTATTCAAAAGAAATAGTCTTGCTCCTATATACTAAAAATATAAGGTCTTTTTCTTAACCACTCTAGATATAAATATTAACTGTATGGGTTGATAACTTTTAGTTTCAGTAATATAATTCGATAAAGTATACAAGTAGACCTCTATAAATATACCCCCTATAATAATATGCAAAACCGTTTTATTACAAAGCTACCAAAACCTTCTGAAAAACAAACTACAAACATAATTTAAAAGAAATTTAGTTATAACAACTATAAAAACAATTAATATCAACAAAGTTATTTGGCTTAAAAAATGAAGAGCAGTGTAATGTAAAATTTGAATTTTATAATGCTGTGTTTTGAAGATGTAGTTTTGAGTTTTTAATACAAGATACTAAACATTCTTTCAAAAATAATGTTATTTTATATAATCTAGAATTTTGAGCTAGAGCTCTAAAAAGAAAAAAAATTAAGCAGCAGATGAAAATAGGTATGTAGAAAGAATGGTGTAAAATATGATTTTTTTACAAAATGCAATACTCTTCATATCTGTAAGGCTTAATATGAATATTTTTGGATTGTGAGTGTTGCATACCATGATTTCAAAAAACAAGTAGTCTCAACTTAAAATATAGTATTTCTAAAATGTTTTCACAGTTTTGAAGTGAACATGGTATAGGATACATTTTCACATCAACTTTTTTATACTGTTTTTTTTTTTTTCCAGTACTGGGGATCAAACCCAGTAGTGCTTTACCACCACCGAGCTATATCCCCAGCCCTTTTTATTTTTTGAGAGTCTTGTTAAATTGTCAAAGGTAGCTTGGAGCGTGCAATCCTCCTGCTTCAGCCTCCCAAATAGCTGGGATTACCGGCATGTGCCACCATGCCTGGCATCTATATTATTCTATCCAACAATTAAAAATACTCTTTGAGCTCAGAGAAGACAACGTGTCTTTTGAATGCTTGATCTTTATATAAATTCTGCTTATGGGGATTTCAGACTGTTCTAATTTGAAATAGTACCTAAACTGACCCAATTTAGGAATTGACCTAAACTTGAACCAAAGACACAAGAGACAGAGGTTTCAAAAAGTTTAAGTCTACTGTATGCAATTATATAGCCATAATTACTTTTTATATGAAAAGTGCTTTAGAGTAAAAAATGTTTTTGTAAAAGGTATTAATATTACTATATTTAATATCCAAGTAGAATTTTCTAAATTGCTTCCATTTTTACCCATTACCTTTGAAAAGTATCCTACTGCTACACTGTAAATAAAAAATGTTCCATAAAATGGTGACATTAGATAGCATAATTTTTGGTGTGGGCCCTTAAAGTGAGACCAAATCTTTATTATTCCAAAGCTAGATTTTATTTCTTCACATGCCCAGAGTAACTAATATCAACTCACATTTTCTATAAGCCTTGAAGAATTTTTATTTAACATAATGAGAGGTTTAATAACTTATATTAAAGACTATGTAGTATTCTTCCATTGCTGTTCACCAACTGTTTTTATGACGATAACTCCGAGATCTGGAATGTGACCGAAAATGAGAATGTTTTGCTGCTTGTGCTTTAGTATCAGAATTGGTATACCCTTTGGGAGATTTACATGGGGATCTTGCTATGGAGTCAGAATGTCTTCCATGTGATCTTGATTTTGTTCCTGAGCTAGTCTGCTTTTGAGGTGAACTTGATTGTGATTTTCCTATTGACTTGGACCTTTTTTGTAAGGACTTGGACCTTGACCGTCCTCTAGAACCAGAATTCCTTCTTGGAGTTCTTGACTGCCTTGCTGAGGTAGACCGCCTTGGTAATGATTTGGAACGAGATTTAGACTGGCTGTAAGAAAATCGCCTGTGTCGAGACCTGCAAACATCCATAGAGTTAGAGCACATATTCAGACAAAACAATAGATTAAGAAACAACACTTTCAGGAACTTATATGCTTTGCATTAACATTAATTATGTTTTTAATTGGTAAGCTACAAGACACAATTCTTTTTTACTTTTGTGATGTTAAGGACTGAACCCAAGGTGTTTTGCCTACTAGGCAAGTACTCTACCACTAAGGTACACCCCCAGTCCTAAAAAAAAAAAGTTCTAATTTTATTATGCATTCTTTTGGTTTAAACACAAGTAATAAATTCATAATGTTTGTTACAGTAGAATATATGATTTTTACTTTGCTAGTTACATCTTACAGATCAGTTCCGAAAAATATCCTGCATACTTAGGGTAAAACAACTCTTTAGAGGTATTAAAATCTGAAGGAAAAAAGATGAGAAATAGAAAAAAATAACAATTATTAAAGTTTAACAAATAATGCTCATTAAAAACAAAACCTAGCTGGGCGTGCATGCCTGTAATCACAGCTATTCAGGAGGCTGAGGCAGGAAAATCATATATTTTAGGCAACCTAGGCAACTCAACAAGATTCTTTCTCAAAAATTTAAAAAAGGCCTGGGGATGTGGCTCAGGCATAGAGTGTGCCCCTTGTTTCAATCCCTGGTATTGCAAAACAACAACAAACCCTGGATACAGGACTCTGGGTCCTACCATGAGAGAGCAGCTTGTGTTACATCAATTTTGTTATAAAAAACATCTATCAAAATGCTTCACAAGCCAGGCATGGTGTTTCATGCCTGTAATCCCAACAACTCAGGAGGCTGAGGTAACAGGAGGATCAGAAGCTTGAGGCCAACCTCAGCAACTTAGCAAGACCCTGTCTCAAAATAAAAAAGGTCTGGAGATGTAGCTCAGTAGTCAAGTGCCCCTGGGTTCAATCCCCAGGACAAAAACCAAACAAAGTTTCATAACATTTATAAAACAATTATTTGAAGGCACTGGAGAACAAGCCTCAGCTGTTTTACCAGGGCCACTGACCAAATGACAGCATGGGGGAATTAATCCTCAAAATGGCTGTTTGACAAAGCTAATAAGACAGAAGTTAGAATTCAGGACTACCCAAATAGCTAGGATTTGAGAGAGAAAAATTCCAGAAATAAATTATAGACTAAAAAGAACCTCTAAATCTACCTTCAAATTCTCCTGAAGTCACTGGCTATGATTAAGATATGAGCATGTAGGATGAGGCCAGCAAAAAAAACAGCACTTAGGATATTCAAGAACCGAACTGAAATTTTATCAGATGCACACTGCTGGAGAAACAGGAGTTCCAGTGACTAAAAGGTCAAGAATTCTTGCACAACAACCCAGACTTTCTATTTTCTTTTGCAGTACTTGGGACTGAACTCAAGAGTACTCTACCACTAAATGACATCTCTAGCCTTAATTTTGAGATAGGGTCTCCCTGAGTTGCCTGGGCTAGCCTCGAACTTGTGATCCTCCTGCCGGTCTCCCAAGAAGTTGGGATTATAGGTGTGTGCCAACCATGCCTGACTAACCCAGATTTTCAATACTACCCAAAAGGACAACATCCTTAGAGGTAAGAACCATATCCTTGGGTAAATCAACGCCAAAACAGATTAAATTTCATAATGCTCCAAACCATACCTTAACAGGAACAAGGTGATATGTCAGTATAGTACTCTCAAGAAAGAAGAACTTCTTTTTTTGAGGATGACATGTAATGTCTCTATAGTTTTTCATCCACCATTTCCAACATTTTTTATATACATACTCACACACACATACATATATATATGTGGTATGTGGAAAAAATAGGCAAAAAGTAAATAAGGAAAATAAGACAAAAGAAGACTCAAGTGATTTAGATATTTACATTATCAGACAGGAATTTAAAAAATTACCATCTCATATATTCAACAAAACACCAGGAAAACATAAAACAGGTGAAAAGATGGGGAATTTCAATGGAAAACTATGATTTATAAAAAGAAAGAAGTGAACTTTTATTTTTTATTTATTTATTTATGAGAGAAAGAGAGAGAATTTTTTTTT